GTTCCAGAACAGTTCAACCCAAATATTCAGATGTGTGCAGCACATTTTATGGAGGACTGTTTCCTGATCCTGCGTTTTTTTATATTAAAGATATAAAAAAAAGTTTTGAACAGTGTAGAGTAGCACTAGTTGTTTGTCATTTCTCCGATCACAAATGCAGACAGAGTTTTATGTTTACGCGATGCAATGCAACGCAACGCGTAAAAAGACAGTATAAGCCATTATAATCAGTAATTATTGTTTTATTTATTTTAAATTTAACAGTAATTTACTTTCAATTCCCCAATTGCTGAAGGGTCTGCACAACTTTTTTGTACAAGTTCAAGTTGCCTTGTTCAAAATACCTGTAGTAGCACAGCAGGTTGACTAGACTAGACTGTAATACAAATAGTTGAGTTTGCCAGGTGCATACAACATTTATGACAGGTTTACATGAAAGTGTTGGTCAGTTTGTCTGCTTGACAATCCCATTTTGCACTGCAACAATAAAATTGAAGTGAGATAAACAAACTGAGAAATGTTTATTTTTAGTTAAAACAGATGTTGCCGAAGTTTTCATTTGGGGACATAATTTGAATTTGGAAAAAGGTAATAAATTGCAATATATCGCAGAATATCGAAATATATTTAAAATCGCAATAATATTGTATCGTGACACAAGTATCGGGATAATATCGTATCGTGGGGCCTCTGGGGATTCCCACCCCTAATGTGCATTGATCAATATTTTGATTTTACTTGAAACTGAGAAAAGGCTTGCAATTATGTTTATCATACAAAGTAACTTACAATATACCAGCCAAGTCATATGAATTATTTTTACGCTACCTTTATGTCCTCTTTGGATTATTTTTGTTCTAAGAAGAGAAGAACAAAAACAGCTGAAATATTCTAAACATTCAAACATTCTTGTGAATGTTTCAAAGAAGAAAATGCAATGACATGAAGTTGAGTAAATTATGTCAGACTTGTATTTTTAAGGTGAAAAATTAATTTACCTCAAAAAATGTGAATTTTCTCACTCATTTTCTAAACCTGTTATTTTTGCAATTATCTTTTTAGATAAAGGAGATATCTTAAATAATTTTGGTGCAGCTCTGTGAATTCCATACAACAATATTTATAGTGACCACAGTTTTCAAGTTCCAAAAATGAAAAAAACAAACAAACATAAAAGCAGTTGTAATATGACTCATGCACTGTATTCCAAGTCTTTCGAGGCTGTTCTTTAACTTTATGTCAGGAACTGGCCGAAATATTTATTATTTGCTGAGAATCTCTACCAAAGCTCTAATCTAAAATTTCAAATTGTTGTTTGTACAAAGGTATTGTATTGCTGCAGAAGACTTAGAAAAAAGCCTATAAAGGCTAGAATACACTACACGACTTTTAAATTCAAAATAGATTTTAAAACACTAGGCATCACTTCCCAACTTTGTCGAACTGGCCATACACTAAATCTCACACAATTTTTTTAATTACTTTTCAAGTCATTCCGAAAACGACAAATTCACACAGAAACATGAAAATGTGTTCTAAAATTGACTCAAAATATTAAATCATGTTTGAAATTCCATTTTTTGTCTGTGTGCTTTAAAATCTTGTTTGAGGAAAAACAGTGTGAAGAGTCTAGCATATAAGCTAGCATATGTACTAGCATATAAATTTGGAACGACAGGAGGAAGAGAAAATAATGACGTTTTCCTTAAAAAAAAAAAGATGTATCTATAATATGTTTGTATTTGTTTTCCAGATCGGGGAGAGAATCCGTGTAATCCTGGACATGGATGATAAGACACTAGCCTTTGAGCGAGGTTTTGAGTTCCTTGGAGTGGCGTTCCGAGGGCTGCCCAAGACATGCCTGTTTCCAGCTGTGTCAGCCGTCTATGGGAACACTGAAGTGACTATGGTGTATCTGGGAAGACCCCTGGATGGATAAGTAGGATCTTGGTGCCACTATTAGAACCAGAGAGCATCATGGGAACTGCTGCTTGACATAGATAATAAGACTCTTGGCTTTTCACATCTGAACTAAAAAGGAAATTGGTGGTTGGTGGCGGGCTTGTTGATGGATGTCCAACACACATCTGCGGATTTCAGATCTATTTGCTTTTAATCCTTTTTGAAGACCTGGGACATTTTTTTTTATCTGGTTTTAATCTAATTTATGAAATCGCACAGGGAACAGCTGTTCTATTTTATGAAATGCTAAAACATGAAGCCAAACTAGAAGAGACAAGTGGCAAAGTTTTCTAATTCATTACCAACATTTTATAACACAATGCATGGAATGAGAAGCTGCTGTATGAGTACGAGGACGGCTCAAGCTTTCACACACAAAAACTAATTTACGTGTAGGTAAATGACATGAAGTAAACATGCCAAAATGCTGTACTGATATCTTACCGTTGTTTTTTTCCAGAGCAGTTATCTGCATGCAGTATACCAGTCTCTTCTTCTGTTTTTTATTATTATTTTTCATGACAGGCAAAGGTAGTATGTCGTTATTCCGTTTGTTACTGTACATCTTAACTGTGATGTAGAAGTGTATAGTATTTATTTATTGAGGTCTATCTTTGCTATACCTGAGGTTATGGAGACTCCAAATAAACTCTAAATTGTGCCAGACTGTGAACGTATCTCAGCCTGTTCTATTGTTGACCTTAATGTGGATTAATTTAATCTGGTGGTTTAATAGTCTATCATATTGATATCTATAAAAGCCCATAGTTGTTCTTATTTCACCACAAGGTGGCATCCGTCATCATAAATTCCTCCACAAGGCAAAACTATGGTTGACAGTCACATCTGCTTTGTAGTGTTCATACTATGCACTGCAATTGCTTTATTTAGATGACTTAAATTACTTTAAAATAAGCTAAAACAATTAAAAATTAAGATTGAAGAACCAGAGTTCCCACTGTCTTGGAAAATCTGAATAGGTTAAGTAGCCTAATTATAAAATTGAGATTGATAGACATGGAAAAGTAAATTAATAAATCTTATAACTCCATTGGCATTTTTTTTTACACATTTTATGAATACATATTTTTTCTAGTCATGTTAAGTTGGAAAACGTTTCATCAGGTGGAAATTGTGAGTTAAAAATATTTGTAAAAATTCTTATCCTTAATCCTTATCCAGTAAATCATGAAGAACTGGACACATCATTGGGCCTTTGACTATCATTGTGGACAATGCAGTGGCCATGGTGTCCAATCCTGCTCCTGGAGGGCCACTGTCCTGCAGAGTTTTGCTCCAACCTCTATTAAACACACCTGAACCAGCTAGTCAAGGTCTTACTTAGTCTCAGCCTCAGACATCACGCCCACTGACCGTTGACTGAACATCTGATGCATATGGCAGTACTCAAAATTGGAAACACTTCAGGAGATTCAAAGTCGTCATCGGATTGGTTGAAGTATACAGGATTTCCGGAAGACGTGTGTGTTGCATTCTTTAACATTCCGGCTGGAAACAAAGATGCCCGACGGCCGCCAAACCCCCTCATGGAAGAAGAAATCCGTCGTGTTTACAACTGTGACAATGAGCGCTTATCAAAATCAACTAAAAGCTGGATTTTCAAAAGTATATGAAATATGTAAAGTTTGCGGCATAGACTCTTTAAAATACGTCCAAGAGTTTTACACACTGTTACTTTTACATACACTGTTATTGTGGCGACATTTCCATGCCCCTAAACATGAAACGGCACAAAATGAAACGATTTGATTGGTTGCTTTACATTTCAGTCATATGGCCTCTTGAGCAGTCCTTGGCCATTCAAAGCAGCCAAGGTTCCCAGACCTTCTGCCGTCAGTCTGAAGGTCTGGAACGGCACAAAATGAAACATGATTGGTTGCTTTACATTTCAGTCATATGGCCTCTTGAGCAGTCCTTGGCCATTCAAAGCAGCCAAGGTTCCCAGACCTTCTGCCGTCAGTCTGAAGGTCTGGCTACACAAGACATAATAGAAACTTCCAGGAAGGTTTGTTGAAGCAACTGGAGCTAAACTCTGCAGAACAGTGGCCCTCTAGGACCAAGTTTAGACACTCCTGACCTAGAAACACCCTAGTAAGTGCATAGCAACACACTAAAATGCCTTGACATGAGGGCACAGCACTACTGCTCTAAAAATGACTTGACACCATAACAACCACATAGAAGTGCCCTACAAACAACTAGGATCACCTTAGCAACATACTAAAAACACAACTGCACTAAGAAAGGCTCAACACCCTAGCAACCACATAGAAACACACGAAAAACCGCGTAGGAACCCATGGTGTGGGAACCACATACAACACGCTAGCATCGAGTTTTGTACGAGCAAGCTCGTTATTTTCAGCACTTGAGATATCTTATTTATGTGAACCTATAAGGTTTTAGTGCATTCAGCATTTGTTTAGGTCTGTAAAACAGGTCACGCTTGACCGACTTTCACATGGTATTTTTTTAATAACTGCACTTAGAAGTCTGATTATTCACTGAATATGCAGTAATATAATCCGTACATCTTTATTTTTGCTATGCAATGTAGGCTACTGCAGGGGAATTAAAATAAGCTGTGCGGAGATACATTACTGTCATGAAAATAATTGTTCGTGCACAAACTGGATCACTTTTAGGCTGCTGGCTATCAGCAGACGTGCTTGTAAACGAAGCAATGTGGCACGCGTGAACGTTTTCACACGTTTTCACAATAGCACAGCTTATGAGAAGAATGCGACAGTTTCACGAGCAGAAGTGATGGGCCTGCATCATTCTAGCAGGAAGGGTGTGAGCTCTTGGTGGTTTCCTCTTGAGTAGTATCTGATGAGTGAAACCAGTAGTGGGTGCTTTGGGTGTGTTCACTTGGTAGGTTTGTGGTCTACTGAACAAGACAGAAATAAGGTCGAAATGTTTGTGCAACATATACTTTTACAGGTGCTTTTGCACCTCAAGCGTCACGGTTATCACGTCAATATTTTTCCTTGTTTTTTTTTTTTTATGTAAGAACCATTAAATGTCCTTCATACTCATTCTCCTGCTCTGTTAGTGTACTGAAACCGAAATACTTTTGCTGTTGTGGGATGTGGTCGATTTTTACATATTTAACGTGCATATTTCTGACCCTGCAGCGTGCGTGTGAAATTTATGATCTTGGCTGCCTTCATGTGACTGCGTTTCCGTTGCTTGCTTGCTTCCGCAATTACTAAAGACATTGCAGAGATGCAGATGTCAAGCACTTTGCATCTCCGGAGAGACCAGGCCAACAGAACCTCCCCGCAAACCGATGTAATGGTCTTCTGTGAACTTCACAGAGGAGCGGAGGGCGCGATCCTGGCCACTGGGGTAAGTGTGCACGTTATACCCACGTGAGATTGTGTGTAAATATGAAACGGACAGGGTGAATGTTTAATAGCAGCTTTATCTTTCATTCAATATGACTTTCAGTACACTCATTACAAGGATAGTCACCTGTCCTATCTTACTCAAGGGCGCAATATTATCAATTTTTGTGGTGATCGAACTTTTAAGTGCTTGCAGGGTTTTGATGCATTTGACTATACAGTGGACCCAAAAGTATTTGGACTTGTAGGTCACACTTTAAAAGGTCAAAAAAAAAAAGGTAATAAATATCAAACCAACTGGCATTTACGAGCAAATTACTTTTTAGATCTCTCAAATTATGACATTTTAGACTTTTTTTTAGCAATTCTGTGCTGTATATACAATATATACTGTTTTTATATTATTTAAAACTTATCTTTGAAAAAATATTTTACAATTATTTTTTTACTATTATTTTTTTATTTTTTTATTTAAAGTTCTAATTCTTGAATTTAAGTTCAAAGGGAATCTTTATTTTTAATAAATGCCATTTGGTTTGGTATTTTGGTAATGCAGTGACATTAATATATTTTTTAAGTTTGACGTATGTGTCCAAATGTTTTTAAGTTCAAAGGGAATCTTTATTTTTAATAAATGCCATTTGGTTTGGTATTTTGGTAATGCAGTGACATTAATATATTTTTTAAGTTTGACGTATGTGTCCAAATGTTTTTAAGTTCAAAGGGAATCTTTATTTTTAATAAATGCCATTTGGTTTGGTATTTTGGTAATGCAGTGACATTAATATATTTTTTAAGTTTGACGTATGTGTCCAAATGTTTTTAAGTTCAAAGGGAATCTTTATTTTTAATAAATGCCATTTGGTTTGGTATTTTGGTAATGCAGTGACATTAATAAATTCTATTAAGTTTGACGTAAGTGTCCAAATGTTTTTAGGGCCACTGTATATAGATTAATGACTGTGACAACGTGTGCCTAACCGATCTGATTTATAACCTGTACCACAGTTGGCTCAAGTAGATTCATATTAGCTGTAGCCACAAATTTCCGCTGTCCCTGCCACATGTAGACCTCTAGGTGTCAAAGTAATTTCTGTTATGAAATATAAATTGGAAATGAAGTGCCTTAAGGAACAATTTGAGTGTCTAAAATATTTGAGATTGACTTTATATTACAGTTTCTGTGTACTCGTATGTTACAAAAATTAAATTAAACTGCAAAATCAATGTGCCATTTCAAGCAGATCCACAAAATAATGTTTTAAGAACTTCAAAAATAATTATGTAAATACACCTTTACTTGGACACTGTAAAGTGTTATTGTAAAAGAGCATTTACATAAAAAGTATACATAAATAAAAAAGTAATATATATATAATCTTTTATATAAATATTAATGTACAATTGTTTTATTACTTCGTCACAGTGATCATGTTAAGATGCTGGTGTTCGATCGCCTGTTCATCGTGCTCTGTCACGCAGTGGTGCCACTTCTGGTGGTCCTGCTTTCAGTCTCAGGACATCCACAGATCTTCCCCTGCAGGCTGGTATGTGAGAAAAGGAAAGACTGTACAATACATCTAGATGAACACTGATGCGTATGATAATTCTCTGAAAAGAAAATAAGAATATTGCTTAAGCATATTACATTATACTAAATCTTAAAGTTTGATGTTACAGTTGTTACCTTAACAAGCCATTACTTGTGGTGTAACCTGATGTATTCAGGTAGATTAAGTTATTTTGAATTGAATAAAACCATTTCATTTACAGTAGATGTTACCACATGAAGGACATTTTTAGGTTACTTGACTAAACATTTTTACCAAGTATAGACTATTATGAAGTTTAATCAGCAAACCACATGGGCTAAATTTGCTTGTTTGTCTATTTTTGTTGTTCTCCATGGGCTTAGCAAGTGAAATGGCCTTTAGTGGAAATTATGAATCACATTATGATACTATTTAAAAAAAAATTCCATTGTGTGTAAGAATAATCTAAATCAGTCTTTCCTTCTCTTTTTTTGTCTCTCTCCACATCTCAAGATCCAAAGCACGGCTCTGTGCAACAGCTGTCAGCTCTCTGCCGTACCAGATCATTTACCACGTCAAATTGAGGAGATCGTCTTAGACAAGAACCGTCTGTTAAATCTTCAAGATGGTTGTCTCTCCAGGTATCCTCTTCTACGGACGTTCAGCTGTGCGAACAATCGGCTAATGACGGTGGAAGAGAGTGTGTTCTCTGAATCGCCTCTTTTAGAAAACCTCAATTTAGCCAACAACGAGCTTTACTATGGACACAAGCAGGTGGCCCAGTCCTTAAGCTCTCTGTCCCAACTAAAGACCCTTGATCTTTCAGGTAATGGTCTCTCGGAGGACATGGTGTCTCTGCTGGTACAGAATCTGTCCTCGCTTGAGTCTCTATACTTGTCCCGGAATGCCATGCTGAGGCTAGATGAGTCAACATTCGGACACCTTCATCAGCTTAGGGAGCTGAACGTCGAGAGAAACTTGTTGTTTGAGATCGATGGAGCGTTTGATCATATGAAAAAACTCCAGAGGTTGAACCTGGCCTTCAACTGCTTACCATGTTTGGTCAACTTTGAAATGACCCAACTGCTGGCCCTAAACGCCAGCCACAATTCCATTGAATGGTTCATAACCAATCAAAATTTGACTGAGACCTTTCAGCTGGAGACGTTGGATCTGTCCGACAACCATTTGCTCTTCTTTCCATTCCTTCCAACAAAAAACCGAATAAGAACTTTGCTGTTGTCCAATAATCGAGTCGGTTTTTATCAACACTTATCAAATTACACATCTTCAAACTGGACCACTAGTGTTGAGTACTACAACTTGGGGCAAAATGTAAGCAGCGTCACAGTAGAGCTCTGGAATGAGAACCTTCACGGTGATCTTTCCTCAGTAGAGCTCCTGGACCTGAGTGAAAACAAGGTGAACTACTTCCCCCAGGGATTCATTCAACAGATGCCGTCTCTTTACTGGCTGAGGCTGAGAAGTAACTGTTTACAGTCCTTCAGTTTGACGCCTGAAGATCTACCAGCCACCCTTTATGAACTGGACGTTAGCCGAAACAGGTTAACCGAGCTGAAAGCAAGCCAACACTCCATTAGCGAGCTGAACAATCTCACACATCTCAATCTGAGTACAAATGACCTTCAGAACCTTCCAACTAGGATTTTTGCTAGTCTACCGAATCTGCGCACACTAGATCTCAGTCACAACACTGTGGACATGTGTTACTTGCCAAGTTCCTCAGGATGTGTTGTGTGGTCCAACATCGTTTCCCTAAAACAACTCTATCTTGCCAGCTGTAGCATTCAGAACATCCCGTCTTTAGCGTTCAAGGGCACGCCACTAACCCATCTCGAACTTTCAAACAATCTAGACTTAAACCTCAAACAGGAATCTCTGGAAGGTCTCACAAACACTTTGCAGCATTTGGGACTTGGTAATACCGGTCTTCAAGCTTTTGACTTCTCTCCGTATAGCCATTTGAAGTCTTTAAACATCTGTAGAAACTCACTAGCAGAACTTCCCGAATCTCTAATGGCATTAAACCTAAAGCTTCTGGACTTGAGGGATAACATGTTGACAACCATCCCGTCCCAACATGCTGGCATGTTAGCTCAAAGACTGCAGGCTGTTTATATGAATGGAAATGCCTTCAACTGTTGCCATTTAGACTGGTACAAGACCTTCGTGGAGAATAAAGGCATCAGTATTGTAGATCTCTCAGAAATTACATGTTTGGACTTAAACCACAGGCGTCACAAGGTCGTGCTTTTTGACACCATCCACTGTGGTGGTTCCAGCAATGAGGAGTCTGTTGTTTGGTACATTCTTCTCTTTGCAACAGTCAGTGTTTCCGTCATGGGTATATCTGTCATTTACATGCTCACCTTTAAGCCAAGAATGTTGCCACGCGCTATTAAAAAGAGATGCTGGAGGCCAGATCCTTATTGAGAAGCATGCTATTGTAAAACTAATGAATGTCTCTGTAATATAAGGGGCTAACATGGTAAATATGCTCTTAAAGGTTGCTACTTTCAGACAACTGGACGTAACGGAAGAGAAATATGATATTAATGTGAAAGATTTAGGCCACATTGGTCTGTAAACATGAATGTATTTCATTTTAACTTCATTAAAATGCATGAAAAGTGTTTGGCTGCTGCATGGTTTGTTAATGTGAAAGATATGTTCCCTTTTTGAACAAAAGTTGCAATTATACTTTCAGTCATGCATTTATTAATTTGGCAAAAGCTTGATCCAAAGCCATTTCAATATCATAGGTAATTAAAAGTTAACCTAATTAAGTTAGGTTATAAAAATGTTGAGGGAACATTGTTTTTAAATGTTTCTAAAACGTTGAAATGTCCAGTTTTCTTGTTGTGATTATAATGTTATTTAAAGGTTATTTTAATCCTACTAACGTTATTTTCACCCAAAATATAATGTTATTTGAATGTTTATTTTTAATATTCTTAGGACGTTAAAATGTCCAGTTTTCTTGTGATTAGAATGTTATTTAAAGGTTACAAACATGTTTCTTAGAAGATACAAGTACAAATAACATCATAAGAACATTTTGAGAATGTTGTTCTAAACTGTTTTCTCAACTTTATGAGAATGTTCAAGTGCAAATAATATCGGGACGTTCTGAGAATGTTGATCTCAGAATGTTTTCTCAATATTATGAGAATGCATAATATTCATAAAGTTATCAGAATGTTCCATAAACATTATTTTAAGAACGTTTAGTCCTAACATTAATATGACTTAAAAAAAAAAAAAAACGTGAAATTTGTGAGAATATTCCATTTTAGCTGGGTTAGTTGTTTTATTTGTTATATGTGACCCTGGACCACAAAACCAGTCATAAAGGTCGATTTTTTTAAATTTAGATTTATGCATCATCTGAAAGATTAATAAATAAGCTTTCCATTGATGTATGGTTTGTTATGATAGGGCACTATTTGGCCGAGATACAAATATTTGAATGTTGGGAATCTGAAGGTGCAAAAAAAATCTAAATATTGAGAAAATCACCTTTAAAGTTGTCCAAATGAAGTTCTTAGCAATGCATATTACTAATCAAACATTAAGTTTTGATATATTTACGGTAGGAGATTTACAAAACATCTTCATGGAACATGATCTTTACTTAATATCCTAATGATTTTTGGCATAAAAGAAAAATCGATAATTTTGACCCATAACAATATATTTTTGGCTATTGCTACAAATATACCTCTGCTACTTATGACTGGTTTTGTGGTCCATGGTCACATATGTGTTCCTTGGCAATCAAACTCATGAGCTTGTTCTTTAGAGTATTTGATGGCTTGTGCCAGAGCTTTTTATGTAAACTATATATTATTTCATTTATTTGATAAAACAAGTTCCCCAGTCAAATATTAATGTGTGAGATGAGGTTAAAATTCAAATCAGTAACCAGCTGTGACCACCAAAGACATTGTTAGTGGCCAATCAACATTGGTTTTTCACTGGCAGATCATCAAACGTTTAAATTTGGTTACCCTGAATATTTTATTACATCCAAAATACATAAACCTTTCACAAAAATGCCTCTAAAATGGCCATACTCGACTACTGATAAGAATTTAACATTGTCATATTGATTGACTTGGATATGATTTGGGGGTCACCTACGACAAGAGTGTTTTTTATTATCTTTATATATTGTATTGTATGTCAGTCCCAGTAAGTCGTTTACTTGCGTGATTGCTTGTATGTAGGTTCGCAGAAGTTGTGCATTAAAAGCAGTCGCTAAAAGTAGCAAAGGAAACATGAAATTTCCTGTTTTGCTAAGACCTGTAGCAACTGCCCAGCTCTCGGTATCATAGAGGGGGGTGGCGGTGGTGTGGTTTTGCTCCATGCTGAGTTCTCAGAGGCAGTTGCGGCAGGACGTAAAGGATTGCTATCATACTTATCTTTCATCTGAAATATGCTTGAGTGGTTCACAGTCATTTACGCGATTAGGTTATTCCAATGAAACTCTAAATCTATGTGTGTGTATGTACTGAATGTACACTCTAAAAAATGCTGGGTTAAAAAGGGACAAACCCAGCTATTGGGTTGTTTTGACCCAGCTATTCCAGAGTGTAACCAGAATACCGCTGTGGTGTTTCTCTAGGTCATGGCGGTTTGAACAGAGAAAGAGAGAGAAAAAGAGAAACTAGGTAGCGCAGTCAGGTGTGGGCTCAGAGGCACATGTGCCATCGTTTGGATCAAATTCAGTGCTGAAAAGACTGTTTAAAACGGGTTGGGGGAAGTAGGGGTTTTATGGCCTTCAGATATCTCTCTGTATTCAAGCTTCAACTGAACTTTAATGACTTTGAGAATATTTTTAAGTAAGAATAAAAGTTGAATTATTGTCAATAACATTCTCCAAAGAAGAAATGCGCTTTTAGAAACTCTTAAAACAGAGTTATGTTCAACCAAAATCATATTTTTTTTCTTTATGACAACCAATGTGCAGTTTTCTTCTGTGAGAATTTGTGACTACTTGGACTGTAGTTTATATAGGAAAGCGAACATAAGTATGTTATTGCTTCATTTTTTATTTTTTTTACATTGTCAGCAGGCGTTGCTTTTGTATTTCATTTTCATTTATGAATAATTTTATTTATACCAGAGGGAAATCTCATGATGTGGTTGAGTGTGGTATGGTGATGTGTCCATTAAAACCAACACTGAAAGAACTTCAAGTGATTTGATATTTGATTGAGGAACTAGATTCACAGATTGTGAATTAAAATCAGGTAAAAAACAATATATCAAAATTTGTAAACACTTTCAGATTCATTCTACAGTATCTATCTATCTATCTATCTATCTATCTATCTATCTATCTATCTGTCTGTCTGTCTGTCTGTCTGTCATGGCAGCATTGTAATACTGCTTTTTTACATTTATAATATAATGTGAGGTATGTTGGAGTACAATCTAAATATTTTAATGATAATTATTCACATTCATATTTTGGTAAAGTTTTGAACCCAAAGACTAATGATTAAAACATTAAAGGGGTCCTATTATGCTTTTTCACTTTTTCAGCTTTAGTTAGTCTGTAATGTTGCTGTTTGAGCATAAAAAAGATCTGCAAAATTATAAAGCTCAAAGTCCACTTCAAAAGGAGATATTTTATTCAACAGAAATCACTTTTCAAAAACTACAACGAACGACTCGTTTGGACTACAGTGCATATTTTCCGGGATTTGTGATATCACAAATACCGACGAATGGGATGAGACCTGGTTGAGCTGCACTAGAGAAGGCAACGAGTGTTATCACTATGTCGGAGACACGCTAGCTTTCCCAAGACAGATGAACTTAGAGTGGTTACAATCATCCGGGTTTAAATCGGGCTCAAATTGATTTGATTTTGAGGCAATATTTACACTGAAGCCAGCAGTCGTTTATGGTAAGGGGCATGACATTTCCCGACCAGGCGCCGACTGGAGCCAATCACAACACACACTGGCCCAGCTAACCAATCACAGCACATTTCGTATTTCAGAAGGCGGACCTTCATTTGATACAGGAACTATTCGAGCCGTTCATGCCAGACTGGGGAGAGAGGTGTTGTGATAATGTAAAATATGTGAAAAATAATGTGTTTTTCAACAACCTAGTATGAGAGCCTGTTCTAGTACACCCCCAAAACAAAATCAAGACTTTGTAAAAGAGCATAATAGGACCCCTTTAACATTTATACATATGAGTATTATCAAATCATAGCTAGAAATGTAATTAATTTTTATTTTAATTGTTCAAATTAATGACATTTCGAACTGACACACACACACGTTTTTATTTTAATAAATTTTTATTTTATTTTTTACATGTATTTTTATTTTATTTAGTATTTTTACTCTTTTAGTTTAAATTAAAATTAATGACATTTCGAACTGATGTGTGTGTGTGTGTGTGTGTAGGCTATACTGCACACACACACATATATACATACATACAGTACATACATATATATATATATATATATATATATATATACACACAGTCATCGCAAAAAGAAGGCTGTGAAAATTAATCTGCATTGTTAATCCTTTTGATCTTGTATTTCAAAAATTCACAAAAATCTAACCTTTCATTGGATAATGAGAATTTAAAATGGGGGGTAGTATTAAATTCTCTAATACACATTGGCCACAACTAACGGCACCCTTTTATTCAATACTTTTTGAAACCTCCATTTGCCTTCTATAGGGTTCAGCTCAGGGAACTGGAATGGCCATATAGCAGAAGCTTGGTTTTGTGCACAGTGACCCATTTTTGTGTCGTTTTTTAGGTTTGTTTTTGGATGATTGTACGGTTGGAAGATCCAAACATGGCCCATTACAAGATTTCTAACAGAGTCAGTCACTTTTTCCCTGTGTGCACCAAACCCATCATGAGTGTTTGCTGCTAAAAAGCTCATTTTTTTTGTTTCATCTGACCATAGAAGCCAGTCGCATTTGACGTTCCAGTCGTGTCTGATAACTGAATATGCTGGAGTTTATTTTTGGATGAGCTAGCATAATTTTTCTTGAAACCCTCCCAAACAACATGTGGTGATGTAGGTCCTGTTTGACAATTTTTTTTTAAGGTTTTCTGACCCTGAGACTCAACTATTTTCTGCAATTCTCCAGCTGTGCTCCTTGGAGAGTCTTTGGCAACTCAAACTCTCCTGCCTATATAACTTTTTATATATGTATAAAAGATAGATTTAGATTTTTAGATGTATTTTACATAGTGTAGTTTAGATTTTTGTGTAGTCTTCAGAGCTACATACACGTTTTTTAAAGTGTCACTGTTCATCAGAGTGAGTTTTTTGCAGAAGCAGAAAGGAGCACTTCGCAGGTCGGCTCTCACATTGCTGTTTTCAGGAAGGAACTGAGCATTGCCCTCTCGCCATGTGAGGCTGAGTAACGGACAGCAAGAATGAACGCCTACAAGCGCCACAACAGCACAGGAAGTCAACAGCCTGTTTAGCACAACTTCCTCTTAACCCTCCCCTCACTGACCATCCTCGCACTGTTTACACAAGAGTAACACCAACACATGAGCCTGTCACCTGCACCATACATAAACAACAGCATGTTATACGCATGATTTATATTTTACAATGAAGAGGAGTCAGTGACTCTTCTGTTCAATGAAGAGAGGTAGGCTATGTTCAAGAAATGACCTATACAGGTACATTTAATAATATTCATGTACGAATTATTGCATATTATGTGTAACTTTAAGGTACTTTCCGATTACAAAATATTATTCATTTAGAAACCAAAAATGACTAACGAGTGAAAAGCCTGACCTCTGCTGACATTTGGGAGAACAGTTAGGCCTATTCATATTTCGACATCGATGTTGTGTGCAAAATACTAACACACTGCTTACCATTTTTATTGAAAATAGTATGTGAAACAGTACTCATTATGCAATTATATAGTAGTATGCTATACTGTTTCCAATGTACCTAATGTTTAATTCAATGGTGTTCAAACTGTTTTATTTAGTTAGTGCCTTGAATTTCTTAAAGGAATAGTTCGCCCAAAAATTACAATTTGCTGAGAACGTATTCACCCTCAGGCCATCCAAGATATAAATGAGTTTCTTTCTTAATCAGAATAGATTTGGAGAAATTTAGCATTAAATTAAACCATTGGATCCCCTGCAGTGAATGGGTGCCGTCAGAATGAGAGTCCAAATGGCTGATAAAAACATCACAATAATCCACAAGACTCCAGTCCATCAATTAATGACTTGTGAAGTGAAAATCTGTGTGTTTGTAAGAAAACAAAAATCCATCAAGGCATTTTAATTTTAAACTCAGACTGGAGAAAGCAAAGTTATGGACCGAGGACCTGTATTTTAGCCAGAAGCAAAACACATATTGAGTTTATTAACTCTATTAAGTATACTGCAGAAATAATTAAATACATATTCTGAATAGCACATGAAATAGGACGAGACAATTCAAAATCAAAACAGAACGGTAAAAACTCATTTTTTACATTTTTGTTTATTATGGAACAAAATCATTGTTTATAAATCTATGGTAGTAATCGCAGAATTTAAGCAGTTAGATAACCTGTGCTTTTGTAGTTATACTGTAAATATCAGAGAAAACTTTAAAAAATTGTACTTTTATTAGATAGAGGATGGCACAATATGTGTAAAATTAGCACTCATCTCTCAACAGTCTTTTTTTTGTTGTTGCTTTAAACAGTTTAAAAACATCAACTCCAAGACAAATGTAAGGCACATAGGTATAAAAAAAGTACAGTTATCAGTAAATAGAATTTGTTTTTATCATGAAATGAATACTTGTATCATAACTGCATATATGCATAACATGGTTAATGAAGACTGCATGTATATAAAGGACACAGTTTCATAATGCATAACAGGAAAGGCTGTTTGCATGCAAATAAAGCATTTTCTTTGTGTGCTCAACCTTTTAACGCAATAAAGAGAAATGTAAACCGCAGAAGATAATAATCGAGGCACATGTCAGCTACGATGGGGCCGTATATGAGACCCTGAAAATAAATTATGGCATATTTACGTCTCCACCTCTACAGGAATTCCTCTGAAGTGTTCTAGAACCTGAAATGAGTTAATGTACAGAATGGAAACCAATTTAAAATTGATAAAAATGACAATCAGTCTTAATACTTACTTGTTGTAAACACATGTAAATACTCAAATAAGACACTCTTGCTTGGTTTTTGCTTGGCATGTCACATCAAAAGCACAAAAAAAAAAAAAAACTGCATTAATTCATTTGTAAACACTCGTCCGGTTAGAACCTCTTCCCATTCTGGGACTGCAAGACGTCACATCTGATAAAATACTGTTGTATGTGAGCAGCACTAGATGTCAAGGTTGCATATACGGTACGCAGCACAGCTGGAATACACTATACGTTTCTCTTTTGGTTCCAACAACACTTGTTTTTTTCTCTTAATTTAGCAGCTCCAAATAAGTAATAGGCACTTTTCCCTTCTGATTCCCACGTTCACCCATCAGCCAATCAGAGTCCATGCCTGGGACGCTGCTCACCATGATCACCTGAAATAAAAGACAAGTTAGTGTGCATTCAAACCAAGAGACTGTTGTACAAATTAAAAATGGGCCGCTCACCTCATCAGCCAATAAAGAGAGCTCGTTGCTGCCCGCGGCGTCGTAATCGTACAGCACCCGCGCTTTACGGCTCCCGCTGAAGTTTTGCAGCTCGGTGAAACCTGAAGACGCATTGGCTGTGTTGGCAGGAAGAGGGCCTGAGAGTGGCAGGATGGGTACGGAGATGCTGGCCGTGCCGCTGGCTGTCGACTGGTTGTTGTTGGAAGAGAAAGCCGAAGGGAAGCTGGAGGGGAAAAGAAAGTCCAAATGAGTTATATAATCATTTTAATTATTATAAAAAGGAAAAATATATACCTATAAAAATGTCTTACTTTCCCAACTGCTTTTGGAGGTCGACCATGTACTGGTAACACTGGGCATAATATGTCATCTGAGCTTCCACAAAGTCATTTAGACAGCGGAGATGATGGGCCTGAGACAAAAAGAGATGATATGGTTTGTTACGGATCAGACCTTGGGATTGCAGAGTAAAACTGAAGGGTTGTGAGAATTGAATTGGCAGGCGGTTCAGTGGGCGGCAGGTTTTCAGATGAGCTCACATGCGTACTGTTGATTCCTTCCAGAAGAAGCCTGGTGATCTCTGCCTGTCTGTCAAACTCGCTCTGTGTCATCTTCAGGTCCTGCTCAGCCTGAAAGAGAGAGAGAGAGAGAGAGAGATAGTCAGGGAAGGTTTCACGGGTGATGTGAGATTCATCACAACTAGTGCACTTAAAAGTCCTCACACTGTTCGAAGGGAACAAAGCAACTGGGAACTGAAAAAATAGCCAGTGCGTTTTCAAACCGATATCGTTGACGGGTTTTAAAGATAAAAATCTTCAGGAGTCTGCTAATGATGTGCAAAAACTACATATTTAAAAATCAACTAGTTGATAGATGAGCAGTCAGCATTTAGGTATTAAGGAAGCTCTGTATGAATCCTCTTAGAGAAGTTCCGAATATGTGTACTTCCTTAGTATGTGAAAAAGCAGTATGTCAAAATGAGTAGTGTTTAAATATGCATTTTAAGTAAGTGGAAAATACGTGGATGATATATTGCTTTCACTGAGATGATTAATTGAATGCAGTATAAGGGAAATATGGGGATGTTGGATGCAGTATGTTGTTAACTAAAACAAAAAAAAAAGATTTTCGGTAATGAAATAAAGTTGAAATAAAAAAATATTAGATGAAAAACTAAACAACAACAACAAAAACAATAAAAATCAGAAATGCTGCATGGCACTTATAAAATAAGTTATAACTTAAGTACTAAAGTCACTCAAACTGAAAAATTAAACATCGTATAATAAAAAACTAATTAAAATGACCTTAAAAATATAAAAAAATTACTGAAAACATACACAAAAACAATTCAAAATATTAACTAAGAGAATACTAAATAATACTGCTGTGGTCAAAAGTAATTAAAGTTATAATAAATAATAAAAATGACAGAAAAATTACAAACTAAAATAAAAAAAATGTATACACAAAAACAATTCAAAATTCAAAATATTATTAACTAAAATAATACTATAATAATACTGGTGTGGTCAAAAGTATTTAAAGTTAAAAGACTAATAAAAAAAATAATAAACTAATACAAATTTTTTTTTTTTTACAAAATGAGATTTAAGACAAATTATAAATTAAATGTGTCCTTTTATTATTGCTTGGACAAAATACTGTACGTTTCTTTGTGAAATTGAAATATAACACTATAATAATATACTAATATAGCACTTGTAAATTATTGCTCTTTTGTTGGTTTTGATTGCTTCTATTGTCCTCATTTGTTAGTCCCTTTGGATAAAAGATACATCTTTTTTTTTTTTTAACAAAATTTAAATATAAATATGTAAATGTAAATAACAAAACTAAATTGAAATTTTAAAACAAGCCCCAAATCAAACAAATAAGTAACACAAATACAAGAAATCTCTTCATATAAACAAACTAAGGCTTTGTCTGTGCTCTTTCCATTTAAAATTAGAGGCTACCACTGCATTTTAATCATGATCCAAACAAAGATGCTGCATATCTGCATGAAACAGAAACAGCAGACGAGCTGAATGAGACGCAGATTCACTCTCTGCCAGCAGGTGGTGATTAAAGCATTTCAATCGATTTTCAACCAGCTCGCGGTTAATCGTTACATCCCTACAATATATATATCTTTTTATTACATGCCAACTGTGCAATATAATGTGTGCAAGACAATATTTCCATAAGGCTTAATTTTGCACTATTGCCTTGTACTGGTTTTTGTGTGTTGCTTGTCTTTGTATTGTATTGTTAATGGCACTCTTTATTGTTGTTTGTATTGCAGATAAGGCTTAATTTTGCACTATCGCTGTGTTTGAACTTGTTTTTGTGTGCTGTTTGTCTTTGTATTGTATTGTTAACTAAGCTATATGTGACAGCACTGTAAGGGTTGCTCTAATTTCGCCGACTCGTACAGTGACAATAAAAAGAATCTTGAATCAGCAAGCCAACACCTTAGCTTACTAGCTTAGCACATTTCTAATTTTTTAAAGAAATGTTCTTTTGATTAGCTAGAACAGGATATTTTGCTGTTTTTGATCATGCACTGAGGAATCTTGTATGACACCAGAAACTTAAAATTACGTTGGAAATTACAGACTAGAAAAAAAAGCCTTGTAAACAAAACGTTGGAACAGAAACATTAGGCAATGAAGTCCAACTGGTCTATTTCCAGTTTTTCCACTGAAGAGAGAAACTAATCATGACACAGATTGCAGTTCTCACATTAGCGCCAAGATTCACAGCTGATCCAAAATGGCAGAACATTCTTCTTACCTTCATCACTTCCTCTGCCCACATCTGCACAGCATTTGAAAACAGCGATAATATATTAAGAGAAAGGCCTGAGTGTTAACACTAAACATCCAATAGCAGCTAACATCACTGAGGAGAATGTATCACGGTAACCCAAGTTTCTAACAAAATACCATGTTACTGTGATTAAAACATTTTTAAAAAATCATGTGATTTCTTTCAAAAAGACACTTTCAGAGTCATTTTAATTTCTTATGTTGATTACAGTGATGCTAATGCCAAGTTAACCCAATTTTATTATAGTAATACCAATTAAAACAAGGTATTTTATCAAAAACCATGATTAGGGCTTCAAAACATGGACTATTTGTAAATTACTTGCACAATTCACAGCGAATCGAAGCAAACTAAACACTTCCCATTTTGGAAGAGGGCAGCTGTTTGTTATGGTACTGATGTGTTTAAGTGGTGTATATATGTGTGTGTAGCTTGAGTGCCGGTCATGAGGAGATCTTGAAGCACTTCTTTACTTCTCTTGTGAAACTGGGGCCAAGGGCGAAGAGCAGTTTTGAAATGTCATCACGATGTTGAGCAAACATAGATATCCTCTTTCCAAACTCTATATGCACAACAAAAAAGGAACCTGGGAACACACACGCTGCTAATATCCGGGACAAAAGAGCTTAATCAACAGCTTAAAGAGGAACTAGCGTGTCTTAAAGATGGCTCTTCTAAAGCAGAACACTGCTTGGCACTCAAGTGAAAGACACACAGACCAACCTTCAGCCACTTCACATGGAGGAAATTCATCATGAAGGAGAAATTGGCAACATAGCCAGTGTCCCCTGGTGGAGGGGTAGTTCTGAGGGGCTACCGTGTGCCAACGCAAAAACAAGAGACAGTGAAGAGCTGCATTTAGGGAAGATGGCAAGTGGCGTCTCTGATTACTAGTTGTCTAGGCTGTAGCTTATATTTGTAAAGACGTTCCAATAGGCAACTCATTGACGTTAAGTTGTATTTAATGGGAAAATGCAATTCTAAATCACATACAAGCAATAATAACTCACCAGAGCTCTGGCATCAGCCATTTTGGCTTTTTTTAGCTTGGTCTTTGCAGCATCTAGGTCCAGTCGTTTGTTCTGAAGCAGTTTGCGCTCTTTCTGTAGAGGAGCAGACGAGTTTGGTTTGTTACATTTTTCATTGTTAAAAACTCTCAGACATTCTTTAATTAAACCTGTTGCAGCTTCACACGTTTGAATGGTTTTTGACCTCTTAAAACAATGAACCATAGGTTTTATTCAGACAGATTGCAAAATTGGTCTAGTCTTTTTTAGTGTATCTGATTCAAATTAGTTTTTTTTTTCTTTTTTTTTGTAGTTTGAATGGCAAAAACAAAAAAACACTCATTAAATCATATATTTACAAAGCTGATCCATATGCGGTTTAAAATTTGAATCAAAATCTGATTTTATGTATCTCAGTTTAAATTTAACAAGTTTATTCTCAGTATGATTTTTGTGTTTTTGAAAGAAGTCTCTTATGCAGTAAAAACAGTAATGTTGTGAAATATTACAGTTTAAAATGACTAATTTATTATTTTCATATATTTTAAAATGTAATTTATTCCTGTGATGGCAGAGCTGAATTTTCATTGTCACATGATCCTTCAAAAATCATTTTAATATACTTTCTTTGATGCTCAAAAACATTATTATTAAAGTTTAAAACAGTTGTACTGCTTAATTTTTTTTTTTTTGTAAAAACAAAACAACAGTATTCATTTAAAATAGATGCTTACAACAATGTCAATTTTTTTTACTGTCACTTTTGATCAATTTAATGCACTGTTGCTGAATAGTTTTTTTTTTAAATTGACTCTAGACTTTTGAAAGCTAGCGTACATAGCAACATTTCCAAATAATGTTTTTAATGTCCAAAAAAAATGTGTCGTTAGGGTTGTCTGATCTCACCAATATAGTCTTGAAGTCTCCTTCTAAAAAGTTGCGGAAAGGCGTGAGGAAATTGATGGCAGAACTCTGAATTAACTCTCGCTCCGCTCCTCCGATCTGCTTCTCTGTCTCGCCGCACTTTATCAGAGCGTTTCCTGTGGACAGACACGAATCAATATATTAACAAATTAATATTTTTAAAATTATGAAATGTCTAGAGGCTATTCTCTTAACAGTAAATGGGCTTTCATGTCCAATTTACAGATTACTTGTATTTTTGTAGCCGTTTACGTTCAAGGAAGGGGAAATGGGGCATTGGCACACAGCAATGGACTATTATTGAATGAGGTACTATGGGTAATTAGGGCACTATGCTGCCCTTGTGTTTGATGCTTACCGTAGGCTGTTCCAGGTCCAAATTCATTCCCAGAGTCAATCATGGACTGACCCAGAAGCTCATGGTTGTTCATCCGTGTGGGCACCTTTTTGTCCAGTTTTTCATACAGGAATTCTTCTATTCTGACATCTGAAATTGCAGAGAGTAACAATAACATTACAATGCAAACCTGTTACATTTTAGGACTATGGATCAATGCCCCATAAAACTCCTTAATTCTTTGATTTTGTTTATATATGAAGTTTTTGGTGTACCAAAGTATAACAAAGTATTTAGGCAGATTCAGTGGTGTTCAATAATATTTTTAACTTAAAACCAATTCATTTAGATGTTAACATTTCCTTTTTTCAGTGTATGACATGACTAATAATAAATTTAAAAAATTATCAAAAATTTAAAATGATTAAATACTAAAAGCATCATGGTGTCGTCTTTGCAAAGCAATCTCTAAAATGCAAAAAGAAGAGAAAAGTAACGTGATTTTCTAGATGTGATCGAGTAGACAGGTGTATGTGCAAGTTCTGTGTTTTGATCAGCTGTTTGTTCCCTCCTGTTGTGTTTGTTCTCTATCCTGCTGATTTTTTTTTTTTTTTAAGTGTTGTGGCACCATAGTGAGGAGAGCAGCTGTAGTTATAGTTACACAGACTTTCTGACATTTCTGTGAGATTTGAACACTATGAGGAAAAGAAGAAACATGAATGAATTTCCAAGTTAGATTAACTTTTTAAGAGAAAAAAATGCTAATTAAATTGTACCATCAAAACATACAAATACCAGTAAGTCCTGGAAACCTAACTAATTAGATACAGATATCGACGCTAACGAATCATCTAACCACTGATTGGATCTTACTTGGGTTTGGCTGCAGTAACACTTCTGTCTGCTTCAAAATCTTCTCGGTCCAGTGTTTAGTGGTTTCAGCTCTGGTGAGGAGATTATCCAAATGTGCATCCAACTCAGTCTTCTCAGCCTGGCCGAATTTTTCTTCTGTGAACTGTTTGTAAAGACATAAGAACTTTTTTTTTAATTTGAGGAGCCTAAGTTTGCCAATATTACTGCCACAAATCTTAAACAAGGTAAATTCAGACAATTTTAAAGTGTTTCCTGTTGAAAAAAACAGCATATGCTGGTTAGGTATGTTTTCTAACCAGCATATGCTGGGTTTTTCAACAGGGTTGTCAGTCTAACACGTTCTAATGTTCAGCTTTTTGAGGAAGTTACACACCAACACACAAAATAAAAGTATCTAGAATAACATTAAAGTATTCCTGACAGATTTAAATGTAAGGAAATGTCCAAACATTTATCTAATTTTAACATTATTCTTTCAATAACAGGCATAAACTGTTTGACCCTTGATAAACATTTGTTTTGAAAAACAAATTGATAAGCATGATAAGCGTTTGTTTTGCAGTGTTATTATGTGAGTGGTTGTGTCTCAATTCCTAGTGAGCAGCGTTTTTGGGCATCATATCCGCGTTTATTTATTTTTATTTTTCCACGTCATCAGCAAATATGACCATTTCTATGCTGATGGCTAAACTACTGTCTAGCTAGACAGCTCGGTAGGTTTTAGCACACAGCCTTTGTGTGTGGATGTGCTATGCTCTAACGCTACCGGATTAAACTCTGCTTTAGCTAGTTAGCGTTAGCCTCACAAACCTGGACAAAACGTGAAAATGGCAGTGTATTTTGGCCATATAACAAAGTATACAAAGCTAAAAGACATAACCGAACGTTTAATGCTTGCTTTTGAAGTAAAAAAAATTAAATAAGACTATGTACTGAGAAAAGTCGCTGAACAAAGATTTACAGCACGAGAAAGAGAGGCCCTGAATAATAGAGAAAAAAAGATACGTTACAGAAATACAGCATATGATGCACATTACAATTCATTAGAAGCGCCTTAATGCCCCAAAAATGCAGGTGTTTAGGATAAAAGTGTGGAAATAAAACTTGACAGCGAATCTGAATTTGCACTTACTTGCACCGCCCGACTGAATAAAGTACCAGCGTCCGCTGCCAGTCTCTTCACGTTAAAATCCATCTTTAACTTTTCTATACAAGACTAATTATGAAATATAAGTGCGCACGCCTGGATTGTGTAAATAAATGTGATGGCATCAATTTTATCCTTTATTACAGCGGCCGGTTTTTTTCGTGAACGTATATGACTGAAGCAACAACCGGCGGAGAAGAGGAAGATCCACCCACAGATCTGATTACTGCGAGCACAGAACCGGGCCCGTTTCAGAAAACAAATGTACCAAATAAGTCAGGTTTATTTCAGTTAGTCTTACGAATTGTCAGTTGATTTGGTTCAAAATAAGTCAGACCAACTGAAATCCCTGTTGAAAAAAACAGCATATGCTGGTTAGGTATGTTTTGACGCTGGGATGCTGGTTTAAGCTGGGTTATGCTGGTCCTTTTGCTGGTTTATGCTGGTCATGTGCTGGCAAAGGACCAGCATAAACCAGCAAAGGACCAGCATAAACCAGCAAAATGACCAGAATAAACCAGCAAAAGGACCAGCTTAAACCAGCAAAGGACCAGCATAAACCAGCATCCCAGCGTCAAAACATACCTAACCAGCATATGCTGTTTTTTTCAACAGGGATATAAGCCTGGCTTATTTGGTAAACTTGTTTTATGGAACAGGCCCCCAGACCTGGACCACCAGAAGTGTCCAGTATCAACATATGGGGTCTAATATCATTAAAAATATATAAAACAAAACGCTTTCGGCATATTTCACTGAATCATTTTCATTAATATTCTGTCGCGCTGTACAGAGATCCGGGATATAGTGTTTTAAGGCCCAGACTGCCATACTGAGTCAGACTTGTTGCTTCAAGTTTGAGACTTGGTTAACATGTTTTTATTTTGTGAAACTCATGCTGAGCCGTTTTTCTCCTGTAGTTAGTTAAACTTGAATCAGAATGTGTGTATGTGTAGCTATGTAGCTATTTATGTGTGTAGCACCCTCTATGGGCCAACAGAGTAGAATGCAAGAGGATAATGGGTTGTTTACATCTATCTATCATCTATCTATCTATCTATCTATCTATCTATCTGACTGACATCAACTGCTTATATTAACATATTGAATGGCGTGAAGCCAAAAAAATATGTGCTAATACTTAAATACTAACCTTTAAATTACCTTTTATTTTGTTGTTCAGCGTGAAAAGCAATATATTTCCTCTGTGGAATAATTATTTTCATCTCACAGCATCGTTATCATCGCTAGATGGCAGCATGTAACAACAGTACTGTTCTTAATGTGTTTTGAGTTCTGCTGTGCTCACCTGCCTGTAATTTAGAGATAAGAGTTTAATAACAGGAGAAATGAAAAGATCAGAGAGGGTTCTGACTTTGGGCATACTTCAAAGAAAACCAATCACATCATAATAAATGTCAAATTTATTTATAGATGTTAATATTCAACCCAAAATGTGTTGTTTAAATAAGGGTTTCAGATCTTTTATGACATCTATATTTTGATATATATAGAAAGATATAGAGAGAAATATTTATATGTGATTTTAACTGAAAGGTTATGTTCTCAGGACATGCATATTTTTCATAAAGGTCAGGCAGGAAAGCTGTTACATATTAACTGGAGCAAGTTATATAAAGTTTTTTTTAATATATATATATAAATGTATATATGTTTTATATATAAACAGCAAAAACAGTGAAATGTTTTGTGTGTGTGTGTGTATATATATGTGTATATATATATATATATATACATATATATACATATATATATATATATATATATATATATATATACATACATACATACATGTTCTTGCTGTTTTATAATTGACTTATTGTTTAAAGTTTGAAACAGTTCTCCCCTACCTTGTTTCTGGTCTCTGCAGCATCCGCGCTTGTAACCGTAGTAACTGAATATATTAATCCTAGCCCAGCCCCTTGGACGCTACGGCATTTTATTGACAGGAGGATGCAGCGCGGGTTTCGCCAAGCTCGATACACACGCGCACTGATGCTTCCACATCCACACAGACACCCGGAGAGCGTCTCATCTTCTTCACCTTTTCTGTTCGTGCGCAAGTTTTTTTTTTTCACTGAGGGTGCAAGTTTTTTTCAGACACCGACAGAAATGAATCCAATATTATTTTGTACGAGAGCCTGATAAATTAAAAAATATATATATATTTAATATTACTGAAAATTATTATTCTGTTGCTCTCATAAAGGAGCAATAGATATTGTTCTCTTGTCCAGCGTTAAATAAGCCTTTGCCAAAGAACAAAACATTATTTTGGGAAATGGGCAGCACTGCAATGGATCCTAAGAAGAAAGATGAGAAGAAAAATTCAAGAAAAAGGAGATCGCTTCGGATAAACGTGCCCGTAAGTTCATTTCTGACTATACTGATGTTCTTCTCCCACAGATTCAAAGCCAGAAGTTGTGGACATGGACTGGAACATGATACAAACTCAGAAATGTAAATCATATGGTCTTTGCTCGCAATGACATTGTGAAATGACCTGTAAATTGATTTAACTTTTATCTCAGAAGGTTATTTTATCAAAGACAAAAAAGGTGTTTTTGTCTTATGTTTAGTGAATATATTCGTATTTAAACACGCTATGTTTGCAAAAATTTAATATTCTGAGATCCTGCAAAGGTGTATTTACATTTTATTTATATTTATTAAATAATGTTTTAATTATTTGTTATTATTATTATTACTGCTACAGTCCCAAATATTTACTTTCATAAACAAGTCCATGATATCATCACTTATAGACCAGGTAGGCCTATAGACTTCTGGCATGTGTGGTAATATATTTGTAACTATTCCACTGGAGGTGAGCGTAGTGAACCCAAGTTAAACAAAAGTGATATCCAAAATACAAACAAATTTGACTTGACTTGGCTTGGCTTGAACAGATTTGGCATAAACAAAAACAAGAACTCACAAACAGAGGTACAGGGACAATACTCGACGGGAGACGTTAGGTGCGTTCGACTTCATGCAGCACTGCGCAGACCGATCGGCGGCTGACTTGAAGCAGTGCATGCCGGTTAGAAATTTAGTCCGACTTGAACCGGCGCCGACGCCACGTCACTGTCACGTGTGGCATCAAAGTACCGCGATAGTGTTTTGAGAGCAGCTTTTTCAGAGCGACTGCAGGAGTGCAGATGAAGACACAGCTGTTTCAGTTTTGGCCAAATTCACCACATGACAACAATGACGTGTGTTTCTAACATCCTCAAATCCAATACTGCTCATAAATCTGTTTTTAGAACAGTAAAAGCTTTTTTTACTGTAGTCGCAATGTTATATTGAGTCACGTTTATCATGAAAGCATATATACCCCCACTTTATTAGTTTTTAAATAGTATATATTTACGTTGAACTTTATTCTTGAACAGATGGCACTGTATTAAGCAGTATATAAAAAGTGTTTCTGTTGCTCATGAAAACGTTTCTGAAACGTCTGTGTATTTGACAAATATTGCATTTTATTCACTTCATCTGTGATAGAGTATGCAAACACCGCATGAGCGTCACTAACGGGAGCAGAAAGTGTACGGCTTGACGTGTCCGTTTTCAACTCCGCCCCTGACTGCAAGCGGCTACTCTCGTTGATCGCTGTCTGTAGCCATGCTTCAAGTCGAACACACCTAATGGCAACATGAGGGCTATAAATACCAAACAAAGAGGGTCACATGACACAATCCAACCAATGAGGAACAAGACACATGATTAGGACAACCAATCAGAACATGACACATACACTAGGCAGGAATACATGAGGATCAAGGGAATCACATGACTAGACAGGAACCATGACTAAACTACAAAATAAAAGACATGAAAACATGAACATGAAACAAAACACAAAACAGGCGTGACAGATCACCCCCTCTATGGGTGGCTCCTGACGCCAAAACGTAACACCCACCCCAACCCAAACAACAAAAAGTTCAGGAGGGTGGAGGACTGGAGGTGGTCCAGCGGGTGGGATGGAGGGACAGGCCCATGAAGCGGAACCGGACCTGGATCATAGCATGGCAATGGACCAGGACTGTGGAGCAATGCTGGACCTGGAACATGGGGCAATGGCAGACCTGGACAGTGGAGCAGAGGCAGGTCTAGACTGTGGACCAGAGGCTGGCCTAGGCCGTGGAACAGTGACAGACCGTGAAACAGTGGAGGACCTGGGCCATGGTGCAGTGGCAGACTGTGGAGAAGTGGAGCAGGAGACCACCATGTCAGAGCCGGCAGAGCAGGAATCCAGGGCAGAGCCGGCAAAGCTGAGGACCACCAGGTCAAAACTGGTGGAGCAGGAAGCCAGGGTGGAGCTGGCGGTGCTGAAGACCCCCACAGTAGAACAGACCGGACCGAAGATCCCCATGGTGGAGCAGATGACCACTTCAGTGGAGCCAATGGCACAGGGAACCACCACGGCAGATCAGGTGGGACTCGAACAGAGAGCATAGAGAGGTTAATAATGGCCTCCATGGCCGTGACAGGACAGGCAGAGAGTTCATGAAAGGAAGCCGCCGCCTTAGGAGATTCTGCAGTGGACTCATTAACAAGAGAGGCCTCTGGGGCAGACTCGTGGACAGGAGAGGCCTCTAGGGCAGACTCGTGGACTTGGGTAACAGAGCAGTAAGTAGCCAAAACACACAGGATGGCTACCACCATAACAGGAATCACAGAGGATAGGGGAACAGTCTCTGTGATAGCCAGTGCTGAGACCCTGGGGATGCCAGCTGCTCTCACTGACAACAGAGGTGGGTCCACCACACTGGCAATCAGTCTTTTCAGTCCTGGCCCAAGCTCTGCATCCACAGGAGCTTGGGCACTATAGCCCCCCCCCCCAAAAAAATCCTTAGGGGAAACTTGCATGGTAACCGTGGCATGACAGGGTTCTGGCAAGGTGGCCATGGCATGACAAGGCTCTGACATGACGGCCATCTTGACAGTAGGCTCTGGCGTAGTAGTCATCATGAGTCGAGACTCAGGAGTGGCAGCCATGACATGATGAGACTCTGATGTGATGGCCGTGGTGTGGCGAGGTTCAGGCGTGGCGGCCATCTTGCAAAGAGACTCTTGAATGGCGGCCATCTTGCGGAGAGGTTCTTGAGTGGCCAGCATGACGTGAGCAGGCTCTAACTTGGCAGACATGACGTGAGCAGGCTCCGGCATAGCAGGTGTGATATTAGCAGGCTCTGGCGTGGCAGGCATGACTTAAGCAGGTCCTGGAGTAGCAGACATGACGTGAGCAGGCTTTGGCTTAGCAGCCATCTTGTGAAGAGGCTCTGGCTCGGCGGCCATGACGTGAGCAGGCCCTGGAGTAGCAGGCATGCCGTGAGCAGGCTTTGGCTGGGCAGGCACAACGTGAGTAGGCTCAGGAGTAGCAGGTGTACCGTTAGCAGGCCTTGGAGTAGCAGGCATGACGTTAGCATGCCTTGGAGTAGCAGGCATGAGGTTAGCAGGCCTTGGAGTAGCAGGCATGACATTAGCAGGCCCTGGAGTAGCAGGCATGACTTGAACAACTCCAGACATGACAGTTGGGACATGAAAATGCTCTGGTGCGGATGGTACTGCAAAATTGCAGGGCTCCTCATCAGCCATCCCAACAGTAAATGCAGAGCCACTCAACTGGAGTGCAAAATCAATATATTGCTGTAGTAACCAGTGTGGGGTATGTGGTGGCATTAAACATGATAGTTCTTTTGTTAATCCGAAATGAAAAAGGTCCTTAAGAGCAATGTCATTGAAACCCACCTGGTCACATAGTTCACAAAAGTCTGCCACATAATCCTCAATGGCCCGGTTGCCTTGTCGAAGGTACAATAAACAAGCTGCTGGGTTCATGGTTAGCGTAGAGTATTCTGTAATGATTCCACTGGAGGTGAGCGTAGTGAACACAAGTGCAGCTTTTATTAAACAAAAGTAGGAATGGGTAGACCGACACCTAGTGTCGAAACACGTTTGGAGTTGTTGACACACTAGTGCTTCGAAACAGTGTTCCGGAGCATTGCTTGAAATGAGGCTGTCACGTGACCTGTGAAAATTAAGCTTCGTTTCAAATACACATCATCACGCTGGATCTGGGTCAGCGCCGGCGCCGCCACACGCTCGCGTCATGGTACTGTCGTGAACGCGCGTCCAAAGTGACGCAGTAGAGACGAAAATGTGGAATAAAGTCGTTATTTTTGTTTTCTTTGCACAAAAAAGTATTCTCGTAGCTTCGTAACTTTACAATTGAACCACTGATGTCACACGGACTACTTTGTTGATCATCTTGGTACTTTTCTGCACCTTGAACGTGGTACCTTGCTGTCTATGGGAGGGTCAAAGAGCCCTCAGATTTAATCAAAAATATCTTAAATTGTGTTCCAAAGATGAACGAAGGTCTTACGGGTTTGGAACAACACGAGGGTGAGTAATTAATGACAGAATTTTCATTTTTGGGTGAACTAACCCTTAACAATTCAATTCCAATAATGCTCACAAATCTGTGTTTTTATAACAGTAAAAGCTTTTTTAGTGTAGTCGCACTGTTATCTTGAGTAATTTTTATTAAAAACACTGATAAAAACATTTATAGCCCCACTTTATTGGTATTAAGTAGCCTATATGTTTATGCTGAACTTTATTCTTGAACAGATGGCGCTGTATTAAGCAGTATATAAGAAGTGTTTCTGTTGCTCATTAAAACGTTTCTGTGTATTTGACAAATATTGCATTTAATTCACTTCATCTGTGATAAGAGTATGCAAACACCGTGAGATCGTGACTACCGGGAGCAGAAAGTGTCCGACTTAACGGCTCTGCTTTTAATTCCGCCCCGACTGCAAGTGGCTACTCTCACCAGCCGGTGGCCGGCTAGTGTAGTTCATCTCGAACAAGCCTAATGGCAACATGAGGGCTATAAATAACAAACAAAGAGGGTCACATGACACAATCCAACCAATGAGGAACAAGACACATGACTAGGACAACCAATCAGAACATGACACATACACTAGGCAGGAATACATTTGATCAAGGGAATCACATGACTAGACAGGAACCATGACTAAACTACAAAATAAAAGACAGGAAAACATGAACATGAAACAAAACACAAAACAGGCGTGACAGTATTGTATTTATGTCTTTGAATAGTATGTGCATATTTAAAACAATCTGCCATGACATCTTGGTATTAGAATTTATTTATATAATAGTATTTTTTGGTTTATAGTAAATATTGCAAAATAAGCATAACATTTTATTTTGACAGTATTTTATTCATATTTTGTATTATTATTATTATCACATACTGCATGGTCTCTAAAATATTAGCCGCATATGTATATTAGCTAAATGTATAAAGTTTCCTGG